CGCAGTGACACCACCTTCCTGGCCCCCCCCTCCCTTTTCCCTCCTCTTTACCCGCAGGGTTCCCGTGGCGGGAACCGTCTTCCCGCTGCCTTTCGACCTCTCAGAAAATGAGGGATGGGTGTTAAAGAGCTGGAATTTGTGCTCATGTGGGTCAAATAGGGTGTCAGTCTGTCTAGACTCCGTATTATTGACTGAGTGCCCACTGGCCTGGTTATTTGCACATATTCGTACATCATCATCCAGCAAATAAGTGTAGTGAATGCAATGGTGAACCAGCCGCCTTGATTTGTCTTCTTACTAGCTATGTCACTTGGAAAAATTAACCTCCCACCGTCTCAGTCTTCTCGTATGAAAACAAAATTATACCTATTTCATGGTTAGTTGTGAGGATTAAATAAGATGCTGTATATATTCCCCCTCCTAAAGTAGATGCTCTTAGACCCCTCCTCCTCCATGACTATGTAAATAAAAATATTTGATTTATAGGCAAGAAGGTACAAATATACTAAATTAAATTATAAATCTTAGCAGAGCAGTGGTTAAATTTATTTCAAAATTACAAAATGTTAGATAAGCCTAAGGATTTTCTCATTTAAACCCATGACAACCCAGCAGGTTTGGTTCTCAAGATGAAACTAAGGTACAGAGAGTTGAAGTAATTTACCCAAGGTCATATATCCAGTAAGTAGTAGAAAGATTTCAACTCAAATAGACTGATAGCAGTGTTGCCAGTGGATGTACCTGGTGTTCCAGGTTCTTGTCCCATCCCAGAAAGAATTCAGAGACAAGATGCGGAGGTTAAGAAACTAAAGTGAGGATTCATTAAGGGATGGATACTACACTTTGAAAGGGAGAGCAGGCAGGCTCAGGAAAGCAGCTGCCCTGTGTTTCTTTGGCAAGTTGGTTACATAGACTGTAAAAATGAATAGGCAGAATATTCACTAGGGAGGGAAGGAATCTAGGGTCATATTCTCCGATTTTCATCCCAGCTCCACCTTCCCAAAAGGAGAAGAGATTTTTGTCCGTATTTAGTCTGAATTGGAAGTGTCATGGCATCAGTGCATGATGGGTACCTTTAATCTGCAAGGCTAGATTTACTGAAATAAGGACATAATGAACAAAAGGTTACATTTGGACACTGGAGATTCCTGCCTTTTCTCACCTTTCTTTGTTGGCTCCAGGCCGCTCATCACCCCA